GCTCGAGCCCAGGACCCTGGGAACATGACCTGAGCCGAAGGCAGATGCTTAACGACTGAGCCACCCAGGTGCCCCTGGTCCTTGTTAAGTAGTAAGAGTCAGCCCTTAAAACATTCAGCTCTTCAGAATTGAAGAGTTAAAATTTCATTTAGAGAGAGCTGAGTATCAGAGCATAAGAGATTCTATCTACTCAGCAGTGGAAGAATCAGGGGCCTAAAGAGATGAGTAATTTCAAATCCTGCAGGGCAAGAACTAAACCCAGTGTCCTGACTTCTGGTTCATCCAGGTTCCCTCAAAACCCCAGGCACACCCATTTTCCTGAGAGCACTGGTTACCTGAACCCCTACTCTGGGCTTTTTTCACTTCACGCACTTTTATTCATTAGTTACCATTCAGTCATTCACTCAATGAGTAAATGTGGAATGACTGTATACTGGATACCACAGAGATTTAAAAACCCGAGTCCCTACCTTTAGAGAGTAATTCAGCTCATCCTTACATCAGTTTCTTGAATTGCCCATCATACTTCGGGGCCCTACGTCTATGTCCACATTACATCTCTGCTGGGAGAAGTGGTAGGTGGTAGAAGGGAGTGGTTAAGAGGGTTCGAATCTCAGTTCTGCCACTTAACTAGTAGTGGAAAAGGCTTCACCTCTCCGAACCTCAAGCTTCCTCATTTGTAAAGTGTCGATAATAGCAGCACCTATTTTGCGGGGCTGTTAGCAGGCTGAGATTATGAACAACGCCTGGAACTTACGAAGGGCTCAGGATACAGTAGCTTCTACGGTGTTCTGGGTTTTGTTTTCAATTGTTGGAGGAAGAGGAAGAAATAGGAGCGAGAGGCGCGGCAGCGGCGCGGCCCGCAGAGTTTCAAGAGGTTCCGCGGCCTCCCTCTGACCTCCCATTCCGAAATGTTCCGAGGGGCAGAGCCAGAACCCCGCAAACCCCGACGCGGCGGAGGGGAGCTGAACGGCCCCAGCCCGGGGCTTGAACCTTGGCACGGTCAAGGAAGCCGGGAGAGGGCCGCGTCCCCGGTCCCCACACTCACCATGGCTGCGATAGCAGCAGCTCCCGGCCTCGGACGTGGCAGCTCCCGGCGGCGCCCCGAAACAGCTCACTTCCGGCGCCGGGCGGTGGAGCTGGAGTAGCCGGGTGGCAACGCGGTCCGCTCGCACGAAAGTTCCGAGCCTTTCCGGGGCGGCACCCCGGGCGGCGCCCCGCCCTCCCAAGGCCCCTCCCCTTCTGTGTGCCGACTGCGGGAGACCAAAGGGGTGGGGCTCCCGTTTCCATGGCAAGACTGATCCCGGGGCTTTTGAAATCGGAAGCTCTAGCCCATCTTCTCTCCTTTTGCTGAGATCTATACACGAAAGGAAGGATTCATAGCTACAGCTTCACCCGCCTGCCTGCGGTTCTGGGTGCGACCGGCCTTAGGATGAACATTGTAGGATGAGTAATTTTTTGGGTAGTGGGTAGACCGACCGGTCCTGGTGCTTGCTTCCTCGTTGTTAGTCCCTCCTCAGGACCCAAAGCTGGGACCAGGGCCAGAGAAGGCCAGGGAATGCCAGCTACCAGAGGCTGAGCCCTCTCACCCTGCCCTCTCCACGCCGTGGGACCCAATGCCTCCAAACTGCCCCTTCCCCACAGTCCTGGGATCCTGTGAGGTAGAAACCCCAGGCAGGGTGGGATCTTAGCTAGGCTCCTGCAGCTAGAACCGAGGACCCAAACCCCAGTGGCCCCAGCCCCTAAGTCCCGGGCTTTCCACAAGCACACGGAGAATGCTGTACTGCTGGACGGGGCCTGGGAGCTCCCCTCAGCCACACACGCATGGTCTGGCAGACCTGGACCCCTCCTGGGGTTAAGGAGTCCGGGGACCTAGGGTGGAGCCTAGGCTCCCCTTGAGCAAGTCACAGTCCCTCAGTTTCTCTCCGACACTGGACGGAAGATCCCTAGCTGGAGATGGTCACTGCTGGAGGGATGATGTTAAGGTTCAGAGAGTGTGATAGACCTAGACCATCAACGAGCTTGGGAGAGGGGGCCAAGGGTGTGGGGTCTTACAGAGTTAAGGGCTGGGCCTCCGGACAGCAACTCACCCTTCCACCCCTGCCCCAGCTTTCAAGATTATTCCCCTCTAATGGAGAAATATTGCAGGGATGTTGGGGGGCGGCACTTAAAGTGGAGCAGGGGACAAAGTGGGTGGGGCTCTTGGGTCTGCTGTTCTTCAAGGGACAAACCCTGGCCTTCCATCTGTAGCTGCACCATTGATTCTCTGGTGCATCACTTCTCTCTGAGCCTTGCTTTTCTCAAGTAGGAAACAGGGACAGTGGCATTTTTGATATAATACAAATATAATGCATGGGGCATAGTTGTTATTCAAGGAATTCCCTGGTATAGGCATTGAAGTTGGAGAGATTGGGGATTTGGGATAAGCAATGCAACTGTATCTTATTCGTTAAGATATCTGCTGGGGGAACTGAAAGGTACCATAATATAGAGGTTTCAAGTGCCAATTCTGGTATCAAGACTGCTGGGAGCACTACTGTATCTTCTCCTTTCTAGCTGGGTGTACCCTTCATCTCTCTGAGCTGTGGTCTCCTCTTCTGTTAAGTGGGAATTAGAATACCTACGCTGAAGCAACGTTGATGTTGGGAGTAAATGGACTCTGGGAGGTGAAACCGTTTAGAACTTGGATGGACCTATATGGTGCTTAATCTGAAGATCAGTTCTCCCTGACAAGGGTTGGCCTTTAGTGTATGTGCGTGCGTGCATGAGTGTGTGTGTGTGTGAAGATGCACGTGCACAACCCTCAACCTTTGAGCCAACATTGAGATAGTTTCTTGGTTTGGGCACATTCTTGTTTTCTGCTGATGCTCAGTAGAGGTTTGCAAAGTTCAGATTCTTAGGATGCCAGGCTCCCCTCTGCTTCCCCCCTTGCCAGTAAGGGATGCCACCTACATCTTTTGTCCTATTACCTCCCTCCAGTTGATCCTAGACCCCAAATCACACCATTCTTAGCTTTCCCCAATATGTGCCCCTACCTCCCCGACCCACTGTCTCCAAATCTCTTCCTCTTCCTCCTGAGGCCTCTTCTCCCAAAGTCTTGCTCTTTGGGACTGCCCACTGTTCCTCATGGAAGGTTAATGACTTATGGCAGGTAAAACTTGCTCCCTTAAGTGGTGGAAGTTTGAAAGATGTGATGTGGTGGAAGGAGAGAGACCGCCCACCGAGCTGTGCACCCTTGGACAAAGTGCCTTTCCCTCCCAGGGACTCCGTTTTCCCAAGTTCAAATCCACGGAGGGTGGGGACCCAGGTGTCCTGCGGAAAAAGGCCTTGTGATGTGTACCGTGTCTGCGTTTCCACGTGTGCATTTATTGTTATTGCTCAGGATAGTGTTGAAAAGGCAGACAAATCCCATTAATTACAAAGAGCACAAGCCAGAGATACAGAGAAATAAAGAGTGTACAATAAGAGCACAGTCACTTCCCAGCCCCGATTGTCCCAGAGCCCCCCCCAGAGCCCGGGCAGCTTGTGGAAGCTGGAGCGGCACCATTTCCTCGCTACTCTGTTATAAAATATGTGCACACAAGAGTTAGCAAAGTGTGGCGACCCCCAAGAGGAAAGGTCCGGAGGGAGAGCACCACAGGCATTACAAAACAGACTTAGGGGGCTGAGAAGGTCCCAGAGCAGCCTCAAAGGTCTTGTTTTCGGCGGAGGGGGTGATGGCTGATGCCCAGGGCCTGGGATCCCCTTCCCTCTACTTGGTTGAGTAGGATCTCTACATCATATCAGGAGAGCTTGCTTTAGAACTTGGAAAAGACCTGGGGATTTTCTGCTGTTGTTTGATAGGCCTTGGCTCTGGAAGACCCGAAGCCTTCAAGAAACGCACCCCTCCCATCTTCTAATGGGATCTCAGACACTATGGAGAGAGTTTAGGGTGGGAGGCATGTCACAGTACACCCAGCTGACAGCCTCCCATAAGTAGAGCACGAATGGGTTGGGGGGGGGTCAGGGTGGTGTGAAGGTCCAGGAAAGAAATTGCTGCATCCCAAAGGACCTATCACACAACCACTGAAAAAACTTTGAATAAAGAACAAGAAGTGACCCCTCCCACCCCTGCCAAAAAAAAAAAAAAGGCAGTTCCGGAAAGGGAGATAGGAATAAAGGTTTCTTCATGAGGAGAATTAGAAATAAAAACAACTGGGCCACGCAAATCTGGTAGCTCCAGGTGTGGGAGAGAGCCCTCTTCCTCTTCTGGACTGGGGCAGATGGGGGGTCCACCCCAGCATAACCAAGGTGGGTGACTTTGGGTCCCAAACTGAGATTGGGGTGGGGAGCTTGGTGGCCTCTCCTGGTGACACCCTTGCTTAGGGTTCAGGTGAGATGGTACTGGCTTCTGGCTTCCCCCCAAATTTAGGATGCTCTTTTTGTTTCTCCTATCTAGTTTCTCCTATCTTTGTTTCACTCCATCTAGTGACCCTGAGTGAACGGTACTTACAGTGGCAGAAAGGAAGCCCTTTGCACATAGAATGACAGGGCCCTTGGGTGGGGGAAGGGCAGGGGTGGAAGACTTGGCAACATTTTAAAGTTTACTTAAAAGATTAGCTGTGAGACAATAACCAGGACATTTTGTTAAAAAAAGAAAAAGAGGGAAGCGTACTTATCCCTCCTCCACATGATAAAACATTATATAAAGCAACAGTAATTAGAACTGTATGGCTGGTACCAGATGAGACACCCAGATACGGGAACAGAAGAGAAATTCCAGAAATAGACCCGAATCTATATAAGCTATCAGTATGTGGTACAGGTGGCATTTCAGCATGGTTGGGAAAAGAGCAGCTATTCAATAAGTAGGCTACCCAGGATGAGACGGGTCCAGAGTCCTCGGCCCAGTACCGCCATTTTCATTGGTCTGGTCTCAAAAGCAGGGCACCCTCCTCTTGTCTACTCTGTGTTCTGGTTGGGACAGGGGGGCGAGGGGCCATGGTGAGGGGTCGGCGGGAGCAATGGAGGCTGCTTCAGAGTTAGGGAAAGCGCTGCCTGAGTCACAGGGAGGAAATATTCCTCCCTGCCCACCTCCAAAGGTGGGCGATTCTCCAGCCCCAGGGGTCACTGAATGGGCCCCCTGCTCTTCTCTCATCTGTTGAGGGGAGACAAGTCGCTGAGCTTAGACCTCAGAATGAATCTGCTATCTTCTCCTGGAGCCCTTGTCCAGAGGACAGAGAAGAAGCTAAGTGGATGGTGCAGTCCCAAACTGGAAAAACATATATATACATTACAGAGTATATATTTACTGTGTTCTGTTTGATGTTGGTTTTTGCCTTTTTTTTTTAAACCACAGACATTTCAGAACCACGCTGCGGGAGTAAGAAGAGTCAGCAATTGAAAGCATAACCATTGCATAGTATTAAATGAACAGAGACGGTGAGTTCTTTATTTACAATTATTGTCTAGATAAAAAAATTCATAAAAACAGATGAATGGTCATAAATTATTGACCCCCTAATGGGGTGAACTGCCAAACGTACCCCATGCTGCTAGATATAGGACGCAGAGTGCAAGCTTTATGTACTACAGTGAGTTTTGACAAACCAATCATTTCCTCTGTGTGTGTGTGTGTGTGTGTCTGTGTGTGTGTGTTTGGTGTAAGCATCCATCATTCCCGACAAGAAAAGACCAACACTGAGGTCGGGTGTCCTCGGTCACTTCCACTGCTCCCTGTTCCCTAAACTAGGCTCCGCTCAGAGAAGGCCCTCCTGTCTTCCCTGTGTCCCGGCTCCGAATGAACAGGGAGCGTGGTGGGCAAGCTCAGCTTTCCTGCTGTCGGGGAATGAGGTCATGGACACAGGACTGGAACCAAGAAGGTGGGGAGATGGAAAACCTTGAGAAAGGAAACTACAAAAAATACCACGTTCCAAAGCTGCTCCAGGTTTTTTCACATGTGCAGGTCTTTACTTTCTCAGCAGGAGAACAATGGGCTGGCTTTTGGCGGTGTTTGTATAGGAATCCAATAAGCACATCTGAGGGCTGGTCACCCCTTTGGGGATGCAGTTTCCTCTGCTGGGTACATTCAGAGAGATTCCTTCACGACATTCAGGTGATGCTCTCGCACACAGAAGGTCCTCCTTCTAGGAAGGTTTTGCCAGGTGGGATGGGCTGACTTGGGATCCCAAAGCCTCAGGTTCCTTCACAGCCACCCAGCCGTAGGCCCTCCCAGCTGACTATGGCTCTTTTCCCGAGTGGCTCTCATCTTGTTTGTGGAAGAATTCTCTGGGCCTGGAGAAGGGAAGGGCTGAGCTGACACAGAGCAACCGTGGGAAGGGGTCAGTATGAGGAATGAATTTTGCAAGCGAGGTGGAAAGTGTTTGGTTTTCCTCAAAGCATGGGACGTCATCGATCATGGTATTCAAAATGTCTTTTGCACTGTACAAGTTTATGGAAAAAGATTGTATGCTGAAAAGTCTCAAAGCAAACTTTGTATTAAATACAAAAGTTCTTTTATGAAAAAAGCTGATACCCACAAAGTGCTTAGCAGTTAAGAGGCTGACGTACGATTAAATAAGCTCTCATTAAGTGGGATTACTAGTGCTGTTATTGTCTTGGGGGAAAAATAACCACCTTTTCTCACCTGTGATACTGTAGGGTTTCAGAATGGCTTTCTGTCTGGGAAAGCAAGACTTGCTGTCAAAAGGCTACAGTATATACTGCGACTACAGGAAGACAATTTGGTTTAAAAATCACACTGAATACATCTCAATATACACATCATAAGGTTCGTTCGGATCTAAATAGTGCAGAGAAAAAGGCTATTCTTCTTCAAAAATAAAAATAAAAGCAGCAAGCCACAATGATCCTCATCCAGTATGCCAACAGCTCATACGCTGCAATTTATAAGTAAATAAACCTCTAAATTCCTAAAAAAAAAAAAAAAATCAACAGAGTAGCATTTATAATATTGCAACACTACCTCAACCTCTGTCCAGACAGTGCCACAGAGAACCTCTTTTTGAAATGCTCTTAGTAAACTCAAGCGAGTTTCATCGAGAGAAAAGTCTTCGACCAAAGCTGGGCGGACCCCGTCACCCCCGGGCCAGGCCCGCCGTTAGTGCTGCGAACCTAGGAAGCCTTCTCTCTTCCTCTCCCTGTGTCTACGGAGCACGGTGTTAAGCCCTCCGGGTGGATACTCCTCCTCGGTAGCATTTGGCTTCTGCCTGAGCCTCCCGCGGTAGTGACATAATTGAATGGAAACAGCAGGCAAAAATCAGAGCATGGCTATTGTAAAACATCAAGGATGCAATCCAGGGAAGTGTCTGTTGGGCTGAGCTGTTTATATAACATCTCGGCCGCCAGTGTTCTTAAACTGTACAAATAGCCAAAGACGTTATCTACAGGTTTGTAAACAAATTACATTCTTGTTTTAGGACATAAATAAGTTAAAATAGAGCAATTTAAGCGGAAACAAGGCAACATGCCGGCAAAAAAAACTTTATATATCCGTGTGTGTGTGTGTATATATATATGTGTATATATATATATATACATATATATATACATATATATATATACCTATCTATATGGACGTATACAGTCATGGAAAAGTATACGTTGATATAGATACAAAGAAATGGATATAACCTCGTGAGTGTCTGTGAAGTTCTTCGGTTCCGTTGGTGCAAATTTACTAGGTGAGTTAAGCTCTGCAGTTTCAAAAAGTTGTTAAATTAACCTATACAACTGAGACCATGCTGCGCAAGCATTTCAAAAACTCACAGACCAGTGGATTGGATAGAGTCTCAGAAAAGAGTCTGTCTGCAGTTCCCGCCTAAGAAAACAAACAAAAAACCCTCCCCGACCCCCCCAAAACCAAACAAGGGGAGGACTGGAAGTGTACAGTACATTCATGCAGGGGACGTGGTGGCCTGGCGGGTGCACGGCTGGTCCGTGTTTGGGCGGGAGCCAGGAAGGGCTTGTTCTGGGAAAATCACTCACTCCCGTAAGCCCCGCCCCCGGGAGATCCCGCCCCTTGCCTCAAAGTGTAAAAGAGTTCAAACAGCATCGCAGCCAGAAAAAGGGTCTGTTGGGTGGAAATGTTGGTTTTCTTGCCAGTATTTGGTTTCCTGTTGTTGCTCCTTGCTGCTTGGGTGAGCTGGGTGCCTGGATGGGTGGGGCCCGGGGGTGGGTGGGTGGCGGTGGGGTCCTCAGCTAAAGCGACGTCTCCAGGCTGTGGATGGGGCTCCCTGGACTTGAAGAGGTAGCTGATTTGCTTGTGTCGGTCGTTAGGTTGATCCCGCTGTCGATGGCGCTGTTGTTCTTGTTGAGCGATGACGGAGGGCTCGAGTTCTGCTTGAGGGCGGCATCTTCTTCCAGGTCGGTGTCGTCAATAAGGGGGATGTGGGGCTGTGAATCTTCGATCCGGAATTCGGGGTGAGCCATGAAATTATGGATGGAGGTTCGAGACTCAGGCTTTTCTAGACCTTCATAGAGAGAGCTACGGAACGCCTTCACGACGCGAATCTGTAAGGGAAGCACAGGGGTGAGAAGCACTGCCCTGGGTGGGGAGGGCGGCAGCCAAGCTGGGGGGGCGCTCGGAGGAGGGGTGGGGGGAGGGGTTAGGGCACAGCGGGCGGCTGGAATCCACAGTCGCTGGGTGTTACGAGCATGGGCAGGAGGGGAAGAATGGAAGAGGGGGCTCAGGTTATATGCATCCATGAGGTTTTAAAAACTGCTTTGGTTTTGGTCAGAACTACAGTATTAGGACAGGAGGAATCAAGCCCCATCACAGAGATGGTGGGAAACAGTGGTTAGAGGAAGCATAGTCCACTCCGGCGGGCACCCAGACCTAGTGAGAGACTGAGCCTTGTTAACTTTAAAGCACAAGTTCAACCATGCAGAAGGGGAGCGGGACCAGGTGGGAATAAAGGAGGAAGGAGGAGAAGCTAGTTTTAGAACATTAATCTTAAGAAAACCACACGCAGTTAAGAAACCATACAACATGGAACAGATAACGTGTCACAAACAGAAAAGGAACGGAAAGGAGAGACAGTTGGATGAGCCGGGATGAGAGAAGACACACGAGGGCCAGAGAATAGGAACATCAAACTGAAGGCAGCAAGGCAAACCAAAGCCAACTCAGGGCTTTCCCGGGTGCAGAGCTGAGGCGGCCAGAAAGCACGGAGGAGCCGGCAGACTGACGACATTCAGGGGCGGGGAGCATGCCACGGTGAGGGGTCAGGAACCACACGGCACACACAGACAGACACACGGCTACACTTGGAAGCCTGGACAATGTGAACGGAGGTCTTTGTACCCAACGTTTCTTTCCTTCATGCATTTGGGAGGTAAACACTCGAGTATAGACTCAAAGCCCTGGCCAGTCATTGGAGTTGACTTTGGGGTCCCTTATTTCCTGGGGCATTTTATTTCCTTGTTTGTGCTTTGAAAACACAAAACTCCCAAAAAGGAGGCCAGAATCAGATGGCCAAACCCAGCCCTGGGTGGGATTCTAGGAGGGTGTGGACCCGAGCCACAAAAAAGCACATTCTTTCATTTTCTGTGTCTTAGTTGGAATGCGTGGTTTTCCGGAGAGTGTGAAAGGAAGCTGGACATCGAGTCTTCCAGGCTAGTGGAAGGAGCCCTGGACTCGGAGTCAGGGAGACCCATGTCTGAAAAAGGCTCTGCCACTTTTGGTGCCTTGACCGTGGGCAAGACACGCTGCCTCACTGGTTGTCCTCTGTCCTGCCTCACGGGGTACAGAGGAACAGGACCCCCGTGCTGGAGAGAGGGGTCCCCTTCTCCAGACTCCTGGGAGGGGGAAGCCATGCCTGTCATCTCAAGGGGCAGATGGGACTTGGGACAAAGGTATTTGCTCCTCTCTTCCTAGCCCCAACTCAGAGCGGAGGCAGTCGCGGGGGAATACGAAGCAGCCTCGGTGCGTCCAAGGAGCAGAGCCCCAGCCAAGTTGGCCGTGGCGCCGAGGGTGCCCTCAGTGGCCCTCCCTGCAGAGCAGTGGGTGCCTCCACACCATAGCCCTGTGGGGGCGGGGGGGGGTGCAGAGGACCAGCGGGGTTCTTGTGGGGAGGCCCTTGTGGTCCCAGGATCTGTGGAACTCTCAGCTAAACCCAGGGGTATCTTGTTGGTGGGGCATAGGTGGGGAAAGCCCTGTCCATGGAAGTGAATTTTCTAGATGACTGTGGCTGATGGTTTTAAGTGTCCTAGCGCAGGGTTTATTTTATTATTTTTCCAAGGGAAGTGTTTCTAAAGCACATGAGATGCTCCTCTGCCTTTTGGTTTAGTGTACACAGAGAAGAATGTAACATTAAGTTGGTCAGTAATCCTTTTGGTCTTTTGTAAGACCCCAGAGTTTTGCTTTTTTTTTTTTTTTTTAAGTGTCTCTCTTTGGTTGTCAGCCATCATTACTCGTTCTGACTTTTCCTTGTTTGCTCAAAAGCATCTCTGTCCCGTTTCCCTTTTATGTGCTGTGTTCTGGAGACTCCAGGAGGCCCTGTTTCTTGGAATCATGCTTTAAATAAGAGGCATCAGGGGCCAAGAGAGAGCCTGCTGACGCCGTGACAGCCATGTGACTGCTCTGAGGCCTCTTTCTCCCTGGATTCCCTGTTCATGGCTCTTTAGGGATTATTAAATATTCTGATCTCCTGATGAGCAGGCCATTACACCCTTGATTAAGTGAAACCAAAAAAAAAAGGTGTCGTGGGCCTCAGTTTTCTTATCTGTAAAATGGGAATAATCGTCATTATAACTGTCCAGCCTAGTGACCCGCATGTGCTGAGGCTGAATTGCAATAAGGTGGTGGAGGAGGTGGGATGGTGGTGGGACCCTGTCATGTGACTGAAAATGCAGAGGGCACGACACACAATGAGATGCAGGCCCCTTGCCCTCCCCCTGGCATGGAGACAACAGAAAGAATGAACTGCTCTGGACAAGACTGTGGGGACAAGACTTTTCGGGACACCCCGCCACGGTCATCTCAAGTGTCCACTTCGGTTCTCTCCGCGGCTGAAATGAAAAAATACGGGAAGAAAAAAAGCTCTTCCGCCTCCCATCCCTGCCTACCCTAAAGTGAGATTTTGGGGCTGGAACTATACTTGGTATGGGGGGAGGGGAGAGGGGAAAGGACCCGGCCTGTGGGATTTCAGACATTGTGGTTTCATCAGCACAAAGGGAACAAGAGACCCACGCCCCTGTCGGACGGCTCTGAGGGATTGCGTCGGCCCTGGGCTGGGACGGGTTCGACATACTCGAATGTTTACCCGGCTTCAGGGAAGCCAAGAGTCTGGGATTGATTCACATTCATTTCAGGCTCAAGGTTAAAGACTCACAACCTCTTTTAATTTCACTCTCTCTTGCTGAACTCTGTCTCCAGGGTTCTCTAGCCCTCTAGGGAAACAAACACATGGAATATTCAGACAGTGGAGAGGTCTAGGCCCCACCCCAGAAGCAAGCCATTTTCTCGCCAACCCAAGATTGCACTGAGTTCGTTACCAAAACGCTAATGAGAGGCATAGCTTTCTTTTCTTTCCTTCTTCATTTCTCCCTTAAGAGACGCGCCCTCCTTGCCCTAACGGTCCTTGGAATCAGGAAGGTGAAGGGGAAGTGGCAGGAGGAGATGGCCCCTGTCTGGTAGTGGCCAGGAAGTGGCCGGTTCTGGGTTAGGGGTCTGACGTGCTTGGCCTGGTTGGTTCGAAGGAGGAGGACCTCCACTGACCAACACGGAGCCTGCTACAAACTCGCTAAATACAAAAGTGGCTTGAGATGCGTTAGGAGTTTGAGGGGCATAAGCAGGAGCGGCAGGGGGCTTGGCCTCGGGTCACAGAGCCGAATGCTCATTTTGTCTTTGGTCACCAGTGGGAAGGTGGTCCCGGCCAGGCTGGTAGAAAGTCCAGCAGAGAAACCGCTTTCTTGGCCTTCTAGAGCCCAGAGGGTGGACCCCTTTCCACTTTGTGAGGCTGTGGGCATGGGCACTGGTTCTGGAATGGAAATTCAACCTCTGCAGTCTCCAGGGCTATGGGCTAGTCCGGAAAGTGGTTGTGGGATGGTGGGAAAATGAGGCACTTCGGAGTCAGACCTCTTGCCACTCACTTGTGTGATCGTGGCCAAGTCGGCCCAGTCCTCTGAGCCTCAGTGTCTTTCTCAGGGGAATGGATGTATTGGCAGGTCCTCTCTCCTATTTCCTTGGTGAGGCATATGCGAAATGAAGGATGTGGGGACTACTTTGGAAAATGTTGAGTGAGGCTCAAGTATAAGGCCTTAGGGGTGTGCCGTTAAGTTTCTGGGGGAAAAAAACTCACTTTTATGTCAGTCAGAAGAGGAAAGCAAGACAGTGGACCAGAGTTCCCTCCCAAACATTCTGGGTGTGAGTGTGACCTGACTGTCACATCACCGCATGCATCTGTCTGCCTGGGGCCCTCCACCTCACAGTGGTGCCGGGGGAGGGATGGGATGGGGGGCTCCTCACCCCAAGGTCATGAGTCAGAAGTCCGCCCCAAGCAGACACTGCCCCACCACAGACCTTGGTGGTCAACTCATGGTAACCCAGGGGACAGTGGTTTGACTCCTTCTAGGGTATAAGATTCCAGGTATTCTGGACTCAGCATGCACAGGGCCACCCTCCTCTACCTGGAGATTCCAGGTATTCTGGACTCAGAATGCACAGGGCCACCCTTCCCCAGGAAGAAGTCCCTGCTCAGAGGAGGTGGGAGGCAGCCTACCTCTCCATCCCACCCAAGCCGGGACCCCTTCTCTTACTCCTGGCTACTGGTTTCACACCTTCCTGAGGGAAAAAAGCCTTTGACTCCTGAAGGGACCCTGCCTGGTAACTAGAGGGCCCTCAGAGTCCTTGGAGACTAGAGGAGGTATTGTTGTTATAGCAACTATTCAGGTGAAGGAGGAACTGGGGGTATTTATTTAGAGTTCACACTGTGACTGTATTGATCAAAATGTGTGTGTTGAAGCCACAGAGGTTAGGATCCCTTCTGGAACCAGAACTCTTGGCTAGGGGGATGATCAGGCTCCCACAAGACACCCCAAATTACAGTCTGGATTCTCTGGTAGAGGGTAGGAATACAACATGCTCAAGGAGGCAAGATGGCAGTTGGATGAGGGAATCATGCCTGACCAGCCTCTTTAGGTCCTTGGAGAAAATAGAGGGTGGGCAGAAATGGCTGTCTCTCTGAAGGAGAAGTGTTGAAAACTGGGTGTCACTCAACTGGCCTTATTGAATAAGAAAAGTTGAGAATGATATTGCCCAGGTTTGAGATGACCGAGCTCTTTCTCTAGGCTGTGGGAGCTAAGGCGTGGGGCTAAGCCACAGGAAGACTTCTAAAGGCTGCATGGGTGCCCAGAAATGCCAGGTAGGCTCTGGCTGTGGCCAGTGTGAAGCACCGTGCCTCAAAGAGGTCAGACCCAGCCAGAGGGATGTGGGAGTCACCAGGAGGGATGGCAGGAGCCCAAAGAAGTGGATTCTTTCCCCAGTGGCTCTCCAGACCGGAACCCCCCTCCTCCTTTTTTAAAGTGATCTCTATGCTCGAACCAGAATCAAGAGTTGTATGCTCTACCAACGGAGCCAGGCAGGCATCCCCAGACTGGAACACTTGGTCATTGCACTTCAAGACAGCTGGTGGTGCTGAGCAAGGCCAGAGCTAAGTGAATGAAGGAGGAGGTCAGCTGGCTGAGGCTCTCTGCTGTAAGGGGTGGGGGGGGTGGGCGGTGGGCAGGATGGGACCAAAGTGTTTCTTGCCCTGAGAAAGCCTGGCAGTGACTTCCTAGCGATAGTCACGGCAACGTGACTTGGACCCGGTCTGCTCAAATAGATCTCCATTTCACCTTGGCTTGCTTGGCCTCCCCATCGCTGGGTTTTTGTGCTAATGAATGAACCCAGAAGGGCTTTTCTTCCCTTTTCTGCATCCTCCCTGTTACCCTGCCTACCTGGTGGGGCTGCCGCCACCGAACAGTCATGGGATATGAGCATGGGCCAGCAACAGTCTCCCTGTGGCTCGTGTCTCCCACCCGAGGGCTCAGATGGCCCAGTTCCCAGCTGGCATGCAGGTCCTCTCCAGCTCAGTGGGAGGGGATGTGTGTGGTGGGTGTACCATATTTGGATGGGGGTACAGGCACTGTATAAAGTATGGCGAGATGAAGCCCCAGGGCCTGTTCCTCATCAAAAGCCCGAGGGCTGGAACAGATGCATTGTGGCAATCTGAGAAGACCAGAACTAGGGGCTCCCCCGCAGTTTGGGTGGGGCTGACTGGACACAAGGTAAGGGAGGCAGGTAGTAGAGACTTCTTATTCCCTCTGGGGCCTGAAGCCATGGAGGGGTTCAGAAAGATCTAGAAGCCAGAGATGAGAGAGCAGGTTAGAAGTGGTGCCATGAGGAGGTGAGCTTGGCAGGAGGGAGAAGTTGGAGGCCAGAGTCCCCGGCTATCCCTCAGATGAGTAAGGGCAGGACACTACGGGTTGGACCAGATCCCTCATGGCCTGCTGGCATCCAGCCAAGATGTGAGACTTGGTTCACCGTTTTCTGCCTGAGGTCAAGCTGAATGGGGAAGGAGCCCTGTCCTTTCTAGGAAGGGGTCAGACCTTCAACATGCAGGGCATAGTGTGTGTAAGGCGGCTAATGCCATCAGATGTACAAGGGATGAAACAGAGGGTTCTGAACTACTGTGGCGGGGGCCTCCGGGCTGTGATCTCCTCCTCCAAGGCCTGGGACCCCTCCCCGACTGGGACCTCTGACCAGTAGTGACCCCTCTCTTGGCTGGACCCCACCGTGACCGACTGACCTCTGCTGGCCTTGACCCGTGGTAACGCTTCGCCTTACTAACTATAAGACTCTGACCTCCTGGCCAACTCTGACCTTGACCTTGTGGGCCAGGCTTTTCCTGACTGAGTATGGCCCTAAACCAATTGGGATACTCGGATACTCCTTGCCGTCCTGGCTGACTGTTCGGCCTCGGCCGCTGTGAACCCTCTGGTGGGCTGGAGCATTTGATCACTGGAAACTCCCCACCAGATGGTGATCCTTGACTGACCCAGACCTTTTTGGCCACTCTTGACCTTCACGACCCCCTGGCTGAGTGTTTAAGCCCCTGACCCTGACCCCAGCCAACCCTGGCCCACCAAGGGCCGGCCACCCCATGACTGGCTATGCTCTCCTGACCAATGGGGACCCTCCTCAATGGCTGCGGCCCCTCAGCCCCCTGGGCCTCGCCGTGACCGGCTGCCCCCCGTGTCCTTGGGGCCCCGGCCCCTGCCCGCCCAGCGCTGGCGTCGGTGGCGCCCGAGGCAGTAAGGATTCACACTCACGCCCAGCTGCAGCAGGAGGAAGGCTGGTCGGAGAGGAAAGAGCATTGGACAACGACACGCGACTAGGGCTAGAGAGATTGGCTACGTCCTGGCTCTGGCTGGTGACGGAGGACTGTCTCCGCAGGGCTCCCTGAAAGGAGGCCCCGCTCTTGAAAGTATTGACTACTTCAATCTGCAACGGAGGAGAGAACGAGACAAGTTGCGAGAAGAACGGACACACAGCTACACGACTGACAGGCACGATGCCAGAACACAGCCGCAGCCATGGGGACAAGGACAAGGTGACTTAGATCAAACAAAGACTGCCAGACACACTCAAAGCCTCTGAAAGACGTCTGCGGGCACCAGGCCCCTCGGGGCCCCAGAGCCCCGGGCAGGGCTGGCCAAGGGCTGCGCGCCGGGGTTCTTGTCGCAGAGGAGAAGGATCAGGGCCCGACACCTGCTCCCCCCCGCCCCCAGCTCTCTGAGAGGGCTGTCTGCTGAACCTCGGTCACCCCTAAAACCGGGGGGGCTGTGAATGCCAACGAGAGGATGTTGGGGAGGGCTCGGTGGGGCGTGAAGCAGCCCAGGTTACAGTGGGCTGCTAGGCGTGGTCCAGGCAAGAGGCCCACCCTCCCTTAGTTTCCTAGTCCCCTGAGTCCCTCATCCCACAGGGCTGTGAACAAGCAGTGTGATCTAGAACTCCAGCCTGGGCAGAGGGCTGTGTGAGAGCGTGTGGCCTGTGTGTGGGGGCACAGGTGTCTGTCCTGGGGAGGAAATCCATCCCACACATGTGCCTGGCGTGTGCGCCTTACTGTGCACGTACGTGTCTGCGTATGCGTGGGGAAAACCAAACTTTGCTTCCCAGAGTGGCCTTGACGCTCTGGTGGAGGCTGGAGGCCAGTGTCTGAAGGCCCCGGTGGGGAACATGTTACACATGTGCAGAGATGCCCCGGCCCGGGAGAATCTGGGGTTGGCCCTGGCCTTACACCTACTGGCGCCCGAGCCCTGCACCGCCCCTCCTGGTGGGGACCGGAGCCTGACCCTGACCAGAGCCCCACACTCACCTCAGCTCTCAGGCCCCCTCCCCGCTTAGGGGCATCCCCCCTGGAAACCCATGGTGGGTGTGACCCCAGTCTGACCCCTCGCAGGTCTGAGGGGTGAGATGGAAGGTTCCTGAAGAGGTCGCAGCTTCTTTAGCAGCCACAGGAGCGTGCGTGTGGGGAGCATGGGTGTACCAAAGGCTGGCGAGGTGGTGAGAGCAGGGCTGGAGCCCCGTCTCTGCGGGCCTGTGGGGTGGCATGGAGCACGCCCATCTCCATCCCCCGCCCGCCCCAGCTAGGTGTGGCCCAGCCCCGGGAGCCTCCTGTACCTGGGTCTGGATCCGATTCAGGCCTCGGAACCACAGGATCTGGCCTCGCCGCAGCTCCCTCTCGGCGTGGTCTATCTCCTCCACGTCCTCATTGAGCTCCTCCTCCGGGATCTCCTCCTTCTGGGTGAGCCTGCCCGCCTCCTTGAGGAACTTGAGCCTGCTGGTCGGGATGGTAGCGATGACCTGCAGGGGGTCCAGCGTCAGGGTGATGGGGGCTGTCCCTCAGGTGGCCTCCTTCCCAACCTGCCACCCCACCGCCCCTCTCCTCCCCACCCCCCCCAACTTACCTAGTTGGGCTCGGCTCACTTCTTAACTCATCCTACCCATTCCTCAACTCCATCTTTTATAATTTCTTATTGATTTGCTTTGTATTTCACTCACTCATCCAGAGTTGGAGGGCACAGTGGAAAATCTTGGCCTTTAGGAGTTGGACAGGTGTGACCTTGAATACCCCAGACCTTATAGGTCATGTGACCTTGGGTAAGTCATTTAACTTCTCTGAGCTCTGGTTTTCCCATCTGTAAAACTGGGGGGCAATTCTCAGAGTTTGAGGATTAACTCTGAGTTTGAGGATTAAGCAAGATGGTGTGTCTAAGTTGCTGTGCATGAGCCTGGCCCACAGCTGGCCCTCAGGTCCCTGGGTTTATTCCTCCTGATCACTGGGTCTTGTGGTACCTGAGTGTGGGCAACAGGGGCTCAGGGCATGGGTACCATGGGGACAGCCCGTCCTGGGCATTCTGGGAATGGTTGCCCTCCCAGAAAGGGAAGGCAATATGAGAAGGGGATATGCTTTTATACTTAATCGTCCTCCAAAGGGCTTGTCCATGGGGCCAAGGTGTGAAAGGGAGGCCCTATGGGGAGGCTGAGGTGGCAAAGATCAGAGGCCCCTCTAGGGACAGATGGGTGCTGGCCTGGACACTCAGCCTCATGGATTCCCTGGGGTTTCAGCATTGCCCATTGGCATCATCCTCAGGCATTAGGAGTCTGCCCTCCAGATGCCAAGAGCTCCCTGAGGGTGTGGGCTCCAGCAGGATAAAGATGCCCAGGGAATGGGGTTGCTAAGTCAAATCTAGTTTATCAACTTTCCAAAGAAGCTCCAGAGTTTAAAGAAGGACCTTTTGGATGAAACTAAATTTTCTTCTTCATCTTCTAGTTAATTTTTGCTATTGCAACTTCCCACTCTAGCCTCTAGGAACAGCTCGAAGGCAAGAACAATGTCTCAGGCCAGTTGGGACTCCCACTACCTGGACAATGGAGCATCTTGGGAATAGAACCCCTTTGCCCCAGATCTGGCTCCAGGTACTTCTCACAAGCACTGCATCCTGGTCGGGCTGCAAGCAGTGAGTGCCGTGAAGGGATGTGTGTGTGTGTGTGTGTGTGTGTGTGTGTGTGTCTGCACTCCTGCATGTGTGCACACATGCCTAGGACTTGGGCAAAAGTAGGGAAGGGAAGAGTGGGAGAATGTTCTGGGTCACAGCTGGAAGGGCCCCTATGGAGCATCCCGCCCACGATTCCCCAAAGCTGGGAGGATGCCAGACACAGCCCTGCATCACTCTGAGACAAGGCAGAGCTCACCCCTCCTGCGTTTCCTCAGAGCTCTCTAAAGGAGTCTCTGGTTGGTGTCATACTACTTACTAATTATCCTCTTAAACAACAAGCTGGCTTCAGGCTCTGAGCCTTCGCAGGCCATGGCATCGAGTTAGAGTTTAATAACATTGCTCTCATTACGTTATTATTTTTTTGTTAGCTTCTCTTTATGACAAATGATACTGATTTTCTAATCATGTTAATAATATAAAGTTGCCTTTTGAAATAAATTTCAATAAAAAAACTGATTTGATTGAAAGAAAATATCAAATAAATAACAGGATCAGAGGCATATAGATATAAGGCAAAAGTCACAGTGGTGGTACCCAAAAGACCAGTATGTGGCACCTGGGTCAACCCCCATTGCTCAGATGCCCAGAGATGGGGAGGGCCTTGCCTAGGGTCAGACACTGAGTCCGTGGGAGAGCTGGGACCCATTCCTGGGACTCCCGGATTCCCTGTCCAGTGCTCTTTCCCTTCCTCTGCCGAGAGGCATCTCCTACAACCCACCTGGAACTTACCTGGCCCCAGACGAGCTCTCCTAACCCGATGAATATGCACCACATCCACTGGTCCAGCTGCAGTGGAGAGCAGCTGAATGGCTTTCCCCCAAACTGCACGATCACTATCTGGAGGTCAAAGGGGAGCACAGGGATAGAGAGAGAGAGAGACAGAAAGAGAAGGAGGGAGAGAGTCAGGGGCCAACTCAGGGGTCTGGGCTCTCAGGGCACGGCCAAGGGGCTTTGGCTGCTCACTGCCCACCCCGGCCCAGGTTGGGGTGGGGGCCTGGCTACCTGGATGGCAAAGGTGCCCAGCACGATGGTGCAGAAAATAGGGTTCCGGAAGATGCCATCGAAGACATTGCGCTCGCCGTGGATCTTGCGGGCGTTGATCTCATTGAAGAGCTGCATCATGACGAAGGTGTTGAAGATGATGGTGTAGTGTTCCGAGGGTGGCGAGTGCAGGGGCGCATTCCTCCCGCTGTCGATCTGGAACATCTTCTCGCCTGCCAAGTCGAGAGGGCAGGAGTGGGGCTGAGGGACTCGGCTTGGGGGGGACGCTGGGCCCTGAGTGGGGGCCTCTTCTGTGCAGCCGGGTGGGTCAGGCAGAGACAGAGGCGGCGCTCTGGATGTCAGGGGGCAGGGTGGGCCTGCACTGTTGGGTGGTCCTGAGTGAGTGGAGGGATGACAAAACCCTTTCTTCTCTAGGGAGAAAGATGTTGGGTGAATTTTATTCCACTTTTCTGTGGAAGTCTGATAAAGGTGGAATGCAAGCTCTCCTGTCGGCTGACACTGCTTATTGAAAGTGACCTCCAGTTGGCAAACTCATCTGGACTGGGAAGACTGGGAGGACAGGGTGTGAACCAGGAATCCCCGGTGGGAGGCCATGGCCTTGGGCTCCCCTGAAAGTGGTGCTTCTTGTAACTGACTGTGACCCTTGCTGAGACCTCTGGAAGCTTCTCGGGCTCTTATAGGAAATATCGACTGCTATGTGGATGTTGGGGTTTCTAGGCCAGGCTGGCTCCACTCAGTGGCCTCATTCTCTTGTACCTGAGTTATCACATGATGGGTGGAGAGTAGCCCCCCGGTTTGCTGTGTGGACACGCACTGATGACAGGCCCAGTGCCATTCTACATTTTTTGGCAAAGCTGTGTAAGCTGGTGCCAGGAGGGCTTGTGGGGTTTTCTTAGTGTGAGGTGTCTAGCTGAATCCAAGACCGCTGAGAGTAGGTGCTCAAGGGGGGAAGCCAGCAAGTAAACCAGGAACCCCCACCCAGCAGCCTTCTCTCCTAGTTTTGCATTCACATGGCTTCTTCGAAGACTAAAAATACTCTTGACAATAGTCCTGCCAACACATCACCTTCCAAATTCATACAAGAGGACTGCCCTTTGGGGAATAGGATCCATGCCCTACCCACACCTGTACTCTGGACTTTGAGGGCAAGCGCTCGCTGGCATTGAAAGCCCAGCTCCTCACGCGGAGGGGCTCTGCCCATGCTGGGGACTCCCGGCTGGCCCTGACTCCCTGTGTGACTGTGGGCCCGCCCCTTCCCACTCTGGGACTCTCCGTGGCCCAGGGGTAGGCTTTGCCCACATCATCTCTGAAACACCCGAGGGAACCGGGCCTGGTATCTACCCAGGCGCCCCAGTTCGGCTGCAGGTCGGCTCACCTCTGTGTGCCTCGGGGCGCTCCCTGTAATGTCTGGTGGCACACAGGTGCCTGCCCCACTGAGGGCGGGGAGACCTAAGGGAGGCATGCGGCCTAAAGGAAAATGCTGCGGCAATGGTTGGTGGCTCTGGGTGTTTGGTCCCTCCCTGGGGAGGTCTCAGGGAGGATGCCTGCACGGGGCACGGAGGAGGTGCAGGAATGGGTCGGAGAAGGGGCCAGAGCCTCAGGCTCCTCCAGGGCGGGTGTGAGAGGCGTAAATCAACACTTGGGCGCCACGTTGCCTAGTGTGCACTCAGTGTCTGGAGCTGTCATCAGTGGAAAAGCCCTGGCTTTGGGGTTGGCCAGGCCTGAGACAGGGTCCGGCTCTGCCCAAGACTTGCTATGTGACCTTGAGCAACTCACTTCACTGCCCTGGGCCCCTGTGACTTCACGGCAGGCAAGAGGGCAGATGTGAATTCAGAACGCTGGGTCCAGGCCGGGGTGTCCCAGGTGGGCCAGTGGGGGACTCACCAACAAAGAGCAGGGTGAAGATGAGGGTGAGCTGGTAGACGGCATGGCCCAGGATGTTCTTCATCATGGTCCGTGAGATGAGGGGCTTGTTGCGGCCATATGGCTTCCTCAGAAGCAGGGTCTCGGTGGGTGGCTCAGTGGCCAGCGCCAGTGAGGCGAACGTGTCCATGATGAGGTTTACCCAGAGCATCTGCACGGCCTTCAGAGGGGAGTCCTGGAGACAGCAGTGGTGGGGAAGGCTGTCACAGGGGAGGCCGGCCCCACCAGCTGCTATGAAGGGCCGGGTGTGGGCCTCAGCAGCTTGTTGGTGGCGTCTTGAGCCGACTCTGCCCGGTGGGTCTGCCCTCAGCTGGCCTCCTGAACAGGCACCCCGCAGGATTGCTGGGCCTTCCCTTCTCTGGAGAACAGCCTAGACCTGCCTACCTGTGTTCTCCCTCAAGGAGAAAATTGAGTCTTCTAGGCATGATGGTCAGCAGCTCCCTGCCTTCTGGTAAATTCACCCACTTCCCCACCATGTGCTGTCCACCCCTTCAGCCCCTGTGGACACATCTCTCCTGGCTAAGGCCAAGCTCTCCCCCGTCTCCAGCATAGATCCCATCTGCTCAGCCTCCTGCTGCTTTCCCCTCCACTATCCAAGGCTCTGGCCTCTGCTGTCCCACCAACAGCGCCTGTGACCCCTGTCCCCTTGTCGCTACCACCAAGTTCCTTCTTACCTCATTGTCCCACTTTAACTTAAGCAATTATTGTGTGTATCTATGATTCCAGAAATAACATACTTCCATGGTAGAAAATTTGGGGCAAGTAGGGAATAGCGGAGGAAGCTAAAACTCATCAATGATCTTGTCACTTACAGGCGGCTGCCATCCACATTCTGATGTGGATCCTCCCACGCCTCTCTCTGGCTGAGACTGGGACCATACAGTCATACCGCTCTGTGCACAATCCCATCACGTGGGGTACACTGCCTCGAGGAGCTGATCTGCTGTCCTCTCCTCCCTTGTACCCGCAAGTACCTTGTCCTTGGCAGGCAGACTTTGGCCTTTCCATGTCCCCCAAATCCCTTTCTCCAAGGTCACCAGCACCTTCCTTCTCACCAATTGAGAGACACATTTTCCAGCCTCCTCTCACTGACCTCCCTGCCTTGTTTGGCCACTGTCTCCTCCTGGCCCCTGACCCCACTCTCCTGGCCCTCTTCAGCCTCTCTGAGAATGGTCCTTCTCCCTCTCCCTCAGGGCACCTCTTCCCCGGTCTTTTAATTCTGTGCCCCCCACGGCCCCTTCCTCAGCCCTGCTTTCCTCTCCACACCTGTCACCCTGGCTGGCGGCACCCACCTCTCCCTAGCATCACCCTCTCTACAGCCCAGACCTCCCCTTCTGGTGTTAGCTTCATCCACGGTGGAACACCTCCTTCAGGAAGCCCACCGACCCTGTAAGCCTAATAGCCTAAACTGAGTAGTTCTTCACTCCTCTATCATTTCTCAGTGCAGCCCCCGAGGCCCACTCTGCCTGCACCCCATACTCGCTCACCTCCTAGATGCATCAGAACCCCTTCCTCCAGGCCGCCTCTCCCACCTGTGCCCTGGAGCAGCCACCTTCCCCATGTCCTGAGGCTTTTTCCTGCTCATCAGCCTTCTCTATTTACATGTGCTTCAGGGTTGGACCCCCCATCTCCCCATCAAGGCCTACATGGCCCTGCCACCAACTCAATCTAAAGCCTTAGGCAGACCGGTAGTCCTCTTTGAACCTATTTCTCCATCTGGCATCATCAGTGGGGTCCCCAGGAAGCCTTGCAGGAGCGGCTGTGCTGCGGGAGTGTTCCCCAAGCCACCACTAGAGGGAGTCTCTCGCCCACAGACCAGGAGAGGGCCCTTTCAGCAGAAGGGACCCACCAGCCACCTCCCAGCTCTGACTCTCAGGAGAGGGTACTGGGTGCTGCCACATGCAGCCCCAGGCGCTCGGAATGCAGCAGAGGGGAGCAGCGTTCCTAAGGCCACAAAGCACTCCGGGGCAGTGCTGTGTTTTGGGCCTCTGGGGGCTCCTCTCTGTGGGCAGGAGCTTGTCTACCCACGTGATTGCTGGGAGGCCTTGGAATACTGGCCCTTTCCTCCCCAGGCCAGGCTGGTCAGCCCCTAGGGGGAGGCAGGAGGCTGCAGGAACAATGGCAGTTCCTGGCTGGTCCAGCCTCTAAGCCTCAGTTTCTGCTTCTGTAAAATGGGGATCATCATAATTCCCACCTCATGGGGCTGGGTGAGGAAGCAGTGAGGCTGAAGACATGCAGGCCTGTTGGCTGGCTTCCCCTGAGCTCGGGATAGGGCTGCTCATGACGCAGATGGTGATCCTGACAGACAACTGCCCCTCCCAGTGACAAGGAGCCCCAACCTGGCCTCAGGGCCCCAGGCAAACAGGCCTCTCCTGTCACACTCCTGCCCCCAGGGCCCTGCTGGCTCCTTACCCGCAGCTGGTCGCCTGACCTCCCTTGGGCCCCGCCCTGCCCCTGCCTCCCTCTGGGGGCTCTGCCTTCCTTCCAGGATGACCTCTTCTGCCTCCTGGAGGGAGTACCAGGTCAGGCAGCCATGGGGGTGAGGCTTGACATCTCCCATTTGCCAGATGACCTTGGGCCAGCCCCCCACCTTGCTGAGCTTCGTTTCCTCAGGCTGGTGCCTGCACCTGAGGTCTGTGATGCAACTCCTGGCCCTTGGCAGGGGCTCCCCCAGGCTTTGGCATGCCCCATCCTGCCCGCCTGCCCCCCCCCCCCGGAGGACCCACCTGCGTGATGCAGGCACCCGTGAAGGCCACGATCACAGCCACCACGTTGACCGTCAGCTGGAACTGCAGGAATTTGGAGATGCTGTCATAGACGTTGCGGCCCCACATCACTGCCTTGACGATGCTGCTGAAGTTGTCATCCGTTAGGATGATGTCTGAGGCCTCCTTGGCCACGTCCGTGCCTGCGATGCCCTGTGGGGACAGGAGCCTGTTTGGGGCGGCTAGGGGGTGGTGAGCAGCTTGAGCAACACTGTTCTCATCCCCTGCACACCCTCAGTCCTATAGAACCCCCCACATGCCTCCTCCCAACTGCCCAGCTCGGCCAGACCGCACGGGGGGTGTGTGCATGTACTCCTCACAGACCCGGCCCCTGAGGCCAACTCTGCCTTCTGGAAGCCTTTCCCTGGCCCATCCTCCCCCACACCCATCACGGCAGGCAGCCCTCTTCCACCCTTCCAGGAAGACCCCGGGGGGCCAGGCTGAGCCTTGAGAGCACTGGGCACGTGAGGTAGATGGTGGGTGAGCTGAGTGTGAACCGGGGTCCCCGCACAGCCAGTTCGAGGCTGAGTTACCCACACCCCCTGCCTATGAGCTCTTGCCAGGCACCACCCCAGGGCCCGTGGCGAGCTGCCCCTACCATGGCGAAGCCCACGTCGGCCTTCTTGAGTGCAGGCCCGTCGTTGGTGCCATCCCCGGTCACGGCCACCACCTGACGCTGCTCGGTGTGTGTGCTATCGATGATGCCTGTGGGGCGGGGCACGAGGGTGCTCAGGGCCCCGGAACGCTCCGTGGGGCAGAGGCAGCCGGGCCGGCCCTGATCATCGGGAGGACCCCCGGCCGGGCTCAGCCTCCTCTCTGGCCCCTGCCCTGCCCCCCCTCCCCCTCCTCTTGCTGTGACTCTCCCCAGCTCCAGGCTTGCCCACCTGCAGGGCATGTTGGGCACCTGAGCCCCGTGCTGGCTTGTGGCCCTCTGTGGTCTGGGCCCCGACGGCCTCTCCAGCACACTCTTCCCTCTCTGCAGCCCTTGGCCACACTGGTGGCCACCCCAGCTGGAAACACCTGCCCCTCTGCCTGGCTTCCAGGAGCTCCTCTGTTCTCCCACCATCTGCTCCCTCAGCACCTTCTACCTGGGGGTCCAGTCACTCCTGAGGAGGCCTGGGCTGTGCCATTTGCCAACGACCCCTGACCTATCAACTGGCCTTGACCTCTCTCCAGACATTCACCCTCAATAAAATATTCAGGGGCGCCTGGGTGGCTGGGTCCGTTTAGTGTCTGCCTTCGGCTCAGGTCATGATCCTGGGGTCCTGGGATCGAGCCCCATGTCGGGCTCCCTGCTCCGCAGGGAGTCTGCTTCTCGCTCTCCCTCTGCTCCTCTCCACCCCCCAGCCCACTCTCTCTCTCTTATTCTCTCTCTCAAATAAATGAAATCTTAAAAAAAAGAATAAAAAATAAATAAAAAGAAAAGATTCAACAAATAGAATAAAGAGATGGCATGTAGCCCTGTCACTGAGCTGGGGCTGGTGGAAAGGGCGGGTGAAAGATGTCATCATTGGACACATGTGGAGTTTGATATGTCCATGGACAGGACAGAAATTTGAATGTCACTCTTGGCGTGTCCTTCTCTCATCCTGCACCTTACATCCATTACCAAGGCCTGCGGATTCTGCTCCAAGATCCCACGGGAACCATTTCACTTTTCTCTGTCCCCATCCCCTCTGCCACTAGCATCCCCCCTGCTCCCCACCAACCCCAGGCTACCTGTTCACTCTGCACAGCAACGCCGGGATTTCTCTCGAACCCCCGGAACTGACCTGTCCCCTCCCCCAAGCTGAGAATCATTCTCTCACTCCCCACGCTGGCCTCAGGGTGACATCCATGTTCTTAGCTCCATTCAGAAATTTTGAAGTCCCTGGTGGTCAGGCCTCACTCATTCTCTGATTGTCTCATCTCTCATCCCTGGCCGCCCCCAATCTGTGCTCCAGTCATAGGAATGGCTCTCCGTCTGCAAAGCCGGCTCCCTCGCCCCTGTCTGCCTGGGCTGTCCCCCGCCAGCTGTGCCTGTCCCGCACCTGTAGTCTCAGCTCAGATGCCACGCCCCCTGGGGAAAGTGACTCCCCGAGGACGCTCACCTACCCTCATCAGATCACCGTAGCTCCTGTATGTGTCTCTCCCTGTCCTGTCCTGGCAAGCAGCAGCCCGTGGGATGAGGGAGGGAATGGGACCCGAGACCTGAGAAGCCTTTGTAGCTGCAACCACCCCCCAGCCCTTTGCATGTGTTCAAGTTCCGCCCTCTTCAGGTCCAGCTCCAAGGCCATGTGCTCTGGGAGTTGTCCCGGGCTGCTCCCCCCAGCTGGCGGCGGTCCAAGTCCCCAGCCGAGATTCAGCCACCAGCCTCTGTCTACTAGGCATTTGTCGCCTTTGTTACTGCCAGGTCCCTCCGCCTGCCTACATGCTCCTCCAGAGCAGGGAGGGGGCCAAATTTTCCTCCTGCCTGGCCAAGTGAGCTTCTTTCCACTTCTTGAAGGTATCTGGAAATCTTTGCCTCTGGTCTTTCATAGTGCAGTTCTCTGCCCCGCCTGAAACACAGGCCCTTTCTCCGGGACCCTCAACCCACCTTTAATGGCCTATGATGTGACATCCATCCCCAGCCTGAGTGAGAGGCCAACAGAGGGCCCCACCCTTCTCTTCCACCGACACAGGCTCTAGGTGTGTGCAAGGAAACCTATTTAATGTCTGCTGGATGGAATCTGGACCATGAATTTCAAGAGGGAAGGACTATGTCTGCCAAGTGCTGGGTCTGGCACTTAGTAGATCCTTCAAAAACACATATCAAGAGAAGGAGTAAACAAATGCGTGAGTGATTGAAAAAGAAATGGGGATAGGTTGGGGGGCCTCCTGCTCTGGTATCTGTGATTCTGGGGTGCTGTGTTTCTGTCCCCAAGCCAGATCTGCCTCTATTAATGTCCTTGGGCAACATTTTGGGAGAGGAATCCAAGATGCCCTAGGGATGACCTCAGCCAGAAACCTGCCCTTCTATGGCCATTTTAAAGATGGAAGAATTGAGTCCCAGAAGAGGAGGGACTTGTCCAAGGGTATAGAACAGGTTAGTGGCCGAGCCAGGACTTGAAGCCAGGGCTGTATGACTCTAAAAGGGCCCAGCACCTGGCCACCGACCTGGGCTCAACAGGTGGTATGCCCTCTCTCTGGAGGAAGACAGGGAAGGAGAAGGATGCTAGCTTTTGGCCTCATCTCTCAGGCTGCTATTCCCAGGATGGCCCACCTTTGGGGTCCCCATTACAGATGTTGGTTGGGGTCCTCAGAGACCAGGCAGACCAAGGATCTCAAGCTCACAAGCTCCGGGGCCAGACTGAGAACATAAATGAGTGAAGTGGGCTGGATGACAGACAATAAGGAGTGGTGAAGACGGATTCAAATGTGAGGGGAGAGTCTGTATAAACCCACCCAAATTCAACATAAAAAAGAGCACTATACCAGCCAAATACAACATGTCTGTGGGCCCTATTTTACCCTCAAGCTAAGAGTTTTGGACCTAGACAGGCCCAGTCCCATTGCTTCCTAGAAGAAGTGGAACCCACAGAGAAGACTCACAACCTCCCCATCTCCCTGTGGTCCTTAGAGGGACTCCCAAGGCTGCAATGGGGTGAGGCAAGGATGTTGCCAGGTGTGGGGAGCCCTGTGCAAGAGCTTTTGTCCTGGAAAGAAGCTGCAGGCACCAGGAGAGGAGGAGATTCTGGCCTCAGAACTGCCCCCCCAGTCTTACCTTTGACGAGGGTATGCTTATCCGTGGGGGAGGAGCGAGCCAGCACCCGGAGCTTTGGCCAGATCTTGTCAATTCGCTCCTGTTCAATCTGGAGAGGGATGGGGGAGGGGGTCAGAGAGAAACTGAGGCCTGGAGAAGGGAGGGGACTCACCCAAAGTCACCGGGCTCCGAGTGGCACACTGGCTGGTCTCTGTACAGTCATGTGGCCCCCATGCCTCCCAGGGCCCCCCCCCCAGCTCATCCCGCTGAGGATTCCTTGTGCTGGGCACGTACCTCCCCCTTCTCATTGCGGATCCTCCGGTTGAACTCCTTGCCCTCCAGGCACAGAAAGTCCTCCCCAGGATGGATGATGCCACACTTGATGGCGATGGCCCGGGCCGTGTTGATGTTGTCACCAGTGACCATGCGGACGGTGATGCCTGCCCGCTGGCACTTGCGGATGGCTTCTGGAACCTGGCGGGAGGGCAGGGGCAATGGGGATGAGTGCTCCTAGGGCAGGCCCTCACCGCCCTTATGGATTCTAGAGTGAGCCCTGTTCACAGGCAGCTCCAGTGGAAGGGGCCTGCATGGCCATGAGATACTGACAGCACATACGGCATGTAGACCATCTCCTTCCTTCCTGTGCCCATGGCAGGCATTATTAATCGATCACAGAATCCGATGATTAAACCCTGATGTGGTCTCAGAATTCTTGGTAGAGTCCCAGGCAGCTACCACCTAACACTGTGATGGTCCCTTCTAACATGAAACCACTGGTTATGCTGATCTGGGCAAGGACTTTGAGAAAGACCTCAGTAACACACCAGGCAGGGGTAGAACACTCTACAATTGCAGAGGAATGTGTCCTTGCTTTATCCACATGCACAATTCCTACAAACTCAATGAGAAATAATGCTCACGTATTTTCAGTTTTTTTTTTTTTTTTTTGTGGGGGTTGGCGGGACACTACATTTGGGAGCATTTCATTTACAGAATGTGACACTGCCTTAGAATAAATACAAATGACTATACTTCATGCAAAATAGGACATTGCCATGAGAGAGTAAGGACTGCCTCCTGCCCTCCCTGACTGTAATGACAGACTGATGTCTGGGCCAATCAGGCCAGAGTAGACCCAGCCAGTCAGAAGGGGGTAAGCACCAGCCCCCCTCCCTGCTCCAATGCAGAGCTGTGGATTTATTTGCCCAGCAATTAGGATGCAGAAACCAGCCTGGAGCCGCTGTAGGCCTTTACACACAACCCAGATCAACTGAACAAGGGATTCTGACCCATGGGCAGTGACCAATGATAAAATAATAAGGTATGATTTGCTATTTGCTGCAAAACGTCTTTGAGTTGAAGAGGACATATGAAGGGCAGAAAATCTAGTTATACCAGAAGACCAAAGCACTTTAGAATCTCAGGCTTGGAAAGGTGGAGTCTGACTCCCACTCCTCTTGCATATCATAGTGCCTGGGGAGCTTACCCCCATTCCCACTCTGCCAAGCCACTGCTGAGAGGGTCTGCAGACTGTTATGGGCTGAACTGTGGCCACCCACCCCAAATACATTTAAGTCTTAACCCCCAGTGCCTGTGAATGTGACCTTACTGGGAGATAGGGTGTTTATAGAGGTAATCAAGTTGAGGTCGGTAGGTTGGCCCTCGGCCAATGTGACTGGGGTTTTTACGAAGAGGGGAAATTTGGACCCAGACACGCACTCAGGGAGAATGTCATGTGAAGATGAAGGCAGAGATTGGGTGTTGCTGCCACAAGTCAAGGAACGCTGAAGATTCCCAGCAAACCCCCTTGACCTTGGGGGGGTGTGGGCGCTGGGGGTGGGGAGAAGATCTGAAGCAGATTCTCCCTCACAGCCCTCAGAAGAAACCAACCCTGCCAACACCGTGATCTTGGACTTCCTGCCTCTAGAACTGTGAGGCAGTCCAGTTCGTTGTTGGAGGCCCCCAATCTGTGCTACTTTGTTATGGAGGCCCCAGCAAACTCATATAAGAATTAGAACATTGGTTCAAAACCTGACTGTGGACAGCTCCTGCCCACTGGTCCCCTTCCTGCCCTTAGGAATTTTAAAAACAAGGATTGATCTTGAAAATCTTTAGCCTCTGTCCTCCTCCATCCACAGCACCTGCTGTTCCTTCAGCACAGAGCACCACGTTCCAAGCTGGGGTCACTGCCCAGCCCCTCCCCAGTCTCCCTGCCTCCGGCCTTGCCCCTCTTCCATCGTTCTCCTACCTGACCACCAGCGACCTGCCTAAAGTTCCGCCTGGGTGTCACTCTCCTTCGGGGGCTCCCCCTTGCTGCTTGTAGAGAAAATCAAGACTCCCGAGCACGGTCATCTTGTGGCAGAGCAAGGAACAAATGCCGTGAAGAGGCCAAGGTCAGGAGGCCCCTCCAGCTCCCAGAATGGTATTAGAGACCAGCTCTGTGGTGACAGGTAGTGATCTCCTCGTCCCCAGGGCTGGAGCAGGGTAAGCTGACCACAGGTCTCCTCTGGGTGCATTTCCAGGGCCCAGGGACAAGGCTTCTGGTGCCCCCTCAGGGCTTGGGGGCCACGTGAGCAAGGCCTCTGCCTCGTGCCACAGCGGCGGCTCACCCAGGCGAACATGACCTCTTTGTACAGAGCCAGAGGGAGCGGGGATGTGGAACGTCCAACATCCTGCCTACATAATTTATTGATGCCCTCCCCATGGCTGTAACTGGGACGGCAGCCCCCTGCTGTCTCCTGTTCCAGGGGAAAGGAAAGAACCACTGCTCTTTAGGGGACATACACCTTATCTGGCTCCTGCCTTCAAAGGAATAATTCAGGTTATGTTTGATTCAAAGACGCTTGGGGTCTTGGAGTTGGAAGGGGCTTCAGGTCATGACTCTCTGGCTTTCTGCTCGTTGCCCAGATCTCCAGCTAGGCATCCCACGGATGGCTAGCCATCCTCTGCTTGCAGGCTTCTGATGACGGGGTGCTCACCCACTCCAAGGCTGACCATTCCACAGTGGAACAAGTCTATCATACCCTTTCACATAATCATTCTTCTTTCAGATGAGAGCAGGTGGTCTGGGTCTGACTTGTACTCTTGTAGGAGGCAGGGGCTTTGGTAAAGATCTCTGTACAAAGGGCTCTGGGAGCACAGAGGAAGGTGCCATTCCTTCAGAAGGAAGTAGATGGAGAGGAGAAATCTGGGAAAGCTTCCTGGAGAAGGGGATGTTTGAGCTGCTTCTGTTCAGCCAACACTAACTGAGGCTCTGGCACCTGGCACTGTGCCCAGGCTGGAGCTATGCAGATGACCACTTCACTGTGGCCCGGGCCACAGAAAAGTGTCCCATGAGATGCACTGGCAGAGAATTTGGGAAGGGTGCAGTAGAAAGAGCGTGACAGGTGATCTGGAGGGGCTGAGGCTGAGGAAGATGTGAGGCAGGAGCCAGTGGCCATGAAGCTGGAGAAGGGCCTGTGGTCAGAAGGTGCTGGAATCAGGGGCTTGGTACCAGGCCTGGGGGCCATGTAAGTTCTGAACTGGGGACGAGGTGTCTGGTACCGTGTTTTAGAAAGACTTAACGCTTTTAAGGCTGTCTCAGGGAGCCAAAATCTGACTGCTTGGAATTCCCACCCTCTGGGGTTCCCCAAAACAAGCTGGCTTGGGGAGAAAAAGGAGGCAGCTAATTTTTCTGGCCCCCACACTTTCCTCTGTGTGGTGGAGGCTTCTCTGCCCTTGGGGGAGAGGGCTCAGGGGCCAAAAGGCTGGGTTGGGCTTTGCCCTGGGGATCCACCTGAGTGTTGGCTTCCTCACCTATAAAGTGGGGATGATAGTCTGCACCCCTCAGCGAGGCTGGGCGATGCTGTGATGGGGGCAAAGGGCACCAATCACGGGAACAATAGATGCTGGTGCTGGGGGGTAGGGTGCCTGGCAATGCACCTGACCATGGTCTTCTGTGCTTGTTCTTTCTGCTCCAGGAGATGGGGAGAGATGTTGAGGGTATGGAAGCAGATACAGTGGGGGGTGGGGCACAGCTGGTGTCTGGGGATGGGGGGAGGCAGCCATTTGTTTGGGGTGGTGGGATGGTGTGGGCACGCCACCACGATTCCTGAGTCAGGTACCTTAGAGGTCTGTGACCTACCTGTGGGGGGATTCCAGATGGACCTGGACACACCCGAGAGCCTCCTCGGCCACCTTTCCGGGCAGTGGGCCCTGTAACTGGACGTCTTTGTTGTACTTCAGTCTGGCTTTACGCTCGCATGTGCTATGGGTCTGCTTACTCGTCCCCTTTCACTGGACATTTCATTAGGCTGTGGGCTCCAGAAGGCAGGGACCGCTGACTGCTCAGGACCCATCCAGGGGCCAGGCACAGGGCACACGGGTCATCATGAAACATCTCTCTGCTTAAGCCCCTCAAAGCCTGGTGAATGGATTTGGATGGGGACATGCCAACCCTTCACAATTTAGCTCCAGGCTCCCCTCCTACCCATTTCTCTCATAAATCCAATGGGGGTATTCACTAGACTCTCACCCATCTGCGTTTGCCTGCGCTGTTCCCTCTGCCTAGAACACCCTCTCTCCTGTAATCTGGGAGTCTCTCCCTCTTTCAGGTGAAATGCCCTCTACTCATAAAGCCATTCTGGACTCCTCCAACCCAATGGGGTGCTTCCTTAAACTGCACTCTGCATTTCCTTGTATTGGTCACTCGTTCATTCATTTGACAAACAGCTACTGAACATCTAGCTGCTCTGGGCACTGAGGATCCAGAGATGATTAAGACAAGCCACAGAGGCACCGATCTGGTTGAAATATACTTTCCACATAGACAAAATAGCTGTAAAATTAAAAAAAAATTTTCTTCTTTTGCTAAAATTATCCAAGAGTTTTCTCACGGAGGAAAAACAGCCAGAAAATGGGCGCTTCCTGTTTTCATTAAATGAAGGCTTTTAAACATCTGTTGTTGCTGGTGACACCCATTCTCTGTGACTGCAAGGGCTCTAAATACCCCCGGATAACCTGGCAAATCCCAGACTGCTGCTCTTCTCATGGCTTTATCCGCAGTGGCTTTAGTCAGTGTCGGAAAATGTACCCGAGGCAGCGTCTTATATGTGTCTGGGGGATGATCGGCAAGCCTGTTTTGATCCATTCCGTCTTCTGTCTTCTCATGGGAGGAAGACAACGTGATTTGTCCCCTTGACAGATGAGAAAACTGAGGGAGGTAGTTTGTGTTCCAATGGCAGTTGCAGAAGGAATCTGAAAATGTTTGTAGGACCCTAGAGGTGGCCCAGGCTGAGGCTTCTGCTCTGGCCAGCCTCAGGGTTGCCTGGGAGAGCCTGCCCCAAACTGTAGGCATAGACACTCCCCTAAGGTCACCCAAGAAGCTGGTGACGGTGGCTGCCTGTGAGGCAGGAACCAGGGGCCTGGGGGTGGCATGGGAGGTTACTTCATCTTGTCTGTGGTATTGAACCACTGGAATTTGGCTCCGTGTGTATAAATCCCCCAGCCTAAAACCCAAATAAATCAAAAGCCATCCCCACCCTACTTGGAAATCCTGAATCAACAGGTCAGAGCTTTTATACTTCCAAGCAGTGTCACCAGCAACCCTGCTAGTGTCCCTCACTTGGGAATGTCCAACTCTTCATTGTTTGGTTGGGGAAACGGAGACCCAGGGAAGAGATGCACCTGAAGGCTTTCTGTGAGGGAGTGTTAGGAGTGGGATTAGAACCCGTGTCCCTTGACCCTGCTTTGTCACCCTAGTAAGTCCCTGCTCCCCAACACAGCTTACAACATCGAAATCTACATCCTGGAGGAGAGCCCAGGGGAGAGAGGAGGTCACCATCAAGGATGCGCTCACTTGACGGAAGCAAAGAAAGTTGTCAGGGAAAGCCTTCCCATCAGCCAGCTCAGAATGTTGGAGCTTGGCAGGGACCTGAGGGGCATCTGGGCCAACCTTCCATTTTACAGATCAGAAGACCAAGGCACAGAGAGGGGAAGTGGCTTGTGAGTGACAGAGTTGGGGCTTGGATCCAGGCCCCCTTTCTCCAATGTAGGGCCCTGCAGGATGAAAGTGCTCCCAGCCCTGCTGGGAGTCTTTGCCTGAAGTCTGTGCCTGAAGCCAGCTTCTCTGGATAATCATGCTGTTAGCAGAACATGCCAGGGACCCAGCTAAACCCTTCTCAGGCCCTGTCCTCCCTCTCCTCACACTCCTGACTTAGAACCACTTGCCCTTTCATTTCTGTGGCACCCAGGAGCAGGGCCTGGGGCAGGAAGCGGAAAACCTGTTCTAATCTGGATTTGCTCAGCCACTTACAGCGAGACTTGGGGAACATCACTGTCCCTGCTTGGCCTCAGTGTTTTCGCCTGCACACTGGGGCCGTGGGGAAGCGCTTGGTCTAGGTCAACAGTGCTCAATCCTGCAGTCGTGCCCCTTTAGTGGATTGTCAAATCAGTTTAGCGGGTGGTGACTAGCATTAAAAAAAAAGAAAGAGATAGAAGAAAATAGAAAATACTTACAAGTGCATCACATTACTTTGTGACATCCTTATTTTGGTTAAGTGTATGTGCTTATTGGGTCATGATATAAAATACATTTGTTATTAGCACAGGTCATGACCAAAAAAAGTATGTGTCTGATGCTGCTTCCCACCCCACCTCGGGGATGCTTCTGAGGCACGGTGATAGGCTAGGAGCTCTGGGAATGAGCCGCAGGCTGGCCTCATCTGCTATGTGGAGACTGTAAGGAGATAAACTGTCATGGGAAGCCTGAACCCATTAGCGGCTGGTAATGAGAGGGCATCCCATGGGGAGGCTGATAAATGGCCTGTCTGTTCAGGGAGAGACACAGTCTGCAGGAAAACACATATGGCTCCAGGGCCAAATTACCTGGGGACAAATTGCCTTGGCTGCTCTAGGCTCTGGGTGGGAGTGAGGAGGCCTGTGGGGGCCTCTAGGGGGCGTGAGAGATGAGTACCAGGCATAGTCCTGGAAGATTGGTGTTCAAGTCCCATTCATTCTCATTCATTCATTCCACACTTAAATGAGCACCTTTCATAGGCCAGGCTCTGTGTTAGGGGTTGTTACCTGTCACTGGATCCAGAGTTATGAATCTACTGGGGAGGGGCACAGAGGAAGGGGAGCCATATTTACAGGCCATCTACTTCCTGCCTGACACTGCCTGTTCCTTGTATGTGCATGATCTGTCATGCACATGATACCTCATAGTATCCTGGGGTGTGTGTGAGTGGAGAATATTATTATTATCCCCAGTCTACGGATGAGGAAACAGAGGCTCAGAAGGTTATGTAACTGGCCCAAGGTCACACAGCTAGTAATGCTGGGACTCAGGATCCCAGGTCTGTCTGATGCCTGAGCTCACACTCCTGACGATGCTTCTCCTTGCTGCCGAAATGTGAAAGTCCATGTCTGTGACATTCTAGTCTCACTTGGTCTTTGGAACACAGACTCTTAGAATATCAGGGCTGGGAATTTGGAAAACACCTTGTCTACCCCTTTTCACTGGAAAAAAGGGGAAATGGAGGCTCCATAAGGAGCAGGGAACAGCAAGCGGCCCCTAGGGAATGGTGTCAGGGCAGGTGGGGAGCAATGAAGTTGCTTCTGGTGGAGGAAGGTGGCCCTGAGAGGCCCCATCACTGAATTCCACGGCTGGGGCCAACGTGGGCCCAGTCCCTGCTGGCCTGGGAATCAGGCCTGGGCCCAGCAGCTGGGTTAGTCCTCCGATGACGTGGAGGCCGGCCTCTCCTGGGCTCTGCCCTCTGGGGTTCCCCAGGGTGAGGACTCACTCTGCCTGCCCACAGCAATGTTTTGGAGATTCGAGGCAGCCCTCTCTTCTTACAGCCTCTCTAGCCTGGGCAATCTGACTGAGCACCCATGTCCATCCTCCCCCAACCCTGCCAATCCCCAGCACTGAATTCTGTCTTCCTGCCGGGTGCAGACGCAGCTAGAGGAGACTGAAGACCTGTGTGAGCTGAGCACTCCATTAGGTGCATTTACTATATCACCTTCCTTGGTCCTTCCGGAGAGGGGTGCTGTCATCCCTCTTCTCTTCTGCCTGAGAGTCTGACCTTTGGCTAACTTTCTAGCTCTGTGCCCCTGGAGACCTAACAAAGCGAGACTATAGGCTGCATCACTGTGCAAGCCTGCTAGGTTGGGAAACTGGATCTGAATGGACAGATCTCTACCTGCTGATGTGACATCACACTGGGGGTTTTCTTGAATACCGGTGACCTTAGTTTCTGGGTCTCTCCTTTACGGGGACCCTGGAACCCAGGCCTATGGATATGTTATAGGAGATCCTGGCTCCTATGGGGCAAGAGGCTTCTAAGGCAGGGCAGCCCCCATGCTTGTCCCTTGGGAACACGGGGAGGTTTCTGGATGGTTGGGCGGATGGCTCTAGGGCTGCTCCCGTGGCAAAGCAATGCCTGCTGTCAGGCTGCCTGATGTCCTGAGCAGACTGATGCCAAGCGTGGCCTGTGCTGGTCTTATGAGTTTGAGCATTTAGGAGTAGGTAAAGAGAAAACCTTGTAGATGCTACAGGGAAACTGAGGCTCAGAGAGGCTCAGAGAGGTGAGGCAACTTAAGCTAGCTTGCCAGCAGGCCGGACTCCCAGCCTCTCCAAGCCTGCTGGTAGGGGGCTTACCTCGGGCCGCACGGGGTCCTCAATGCCCACCACACAGATGCAGGTTAGGTCATTGAGGATGTCATTCTCATTGTCCCAGTCGGGCTCGGGGCTGCTGGGGAAGTCACGGTAGGCCACACAGATGGTTCGGAGCCCATCGCAGGCCATGGGCTCGATCACCTTCTTCACCATCTCGTCCCGGTCACGGGGCCGGAAGACCCGGGGCTCCCCTGCCCCATTGAGGATTTTGCAGCACCTGGGGGCGGATGGGAGGGAGATGGGTAAGGTCCAGCCAAGGCCCAAGGATCCTCCCTCTGACCAGCTCGCGCTCACCTCCCCCTCCCCAGTGATGCCCATCTGGCTGTGGTTGGTCATCCAGTGTCTGTCCAGTTCATCTCCCATAATGCTTCAGGGCTGGTCCAGGCCCCTGGGCCCCAGGCAGGGATGAAATCAGGACCAGCCAAAAAGAAATCAGGCAGCCTTCTTGAAATATCTGCCCCAGTCCATTCAGCAAGAGCACATCTAGTTTGATCTGTCTTATATTCACAAGATTTCATCTGAAAAAATAGTTCCACAGCTAAAATGGTTTTCAAAGGGCATGAAACCTAGACTAGTGGTTCTGGACCTTGCTTGCACATTAGAATGGCTTGGTGGGAACACCAAATAAATAAATACCCATGTGTGAGCCCTACCCCAAAGGTTCCAATTTATTTCTATTATTTTTTTAGAGGGGGGGAGGGGCAGACAGAGAGAGAGCCTCTCTCTTCAACAGGCTCCACGCCCAGTGCAGAGTCCAACACAGGGCTCGATCTTACCACCCTTAGATCATGACCTGAGCTGAAATCAAGAGTCGGATGCTTAAGTGTCTGAGCCACCCAGGTGCCCTGTATCAGTGGTTTTTTAAAAGCTCCCTGGGTGATTCCAATGTGTAGCCAGAGTTGAGAACCACTGGCCTAGACCAATCCCATCAAGGTATGAGTGGGGAAACTGAGGTCCAGAGACCGGGAGTGACTTGCTTAGATCTCCAGGCTTATCTCTGGCACCTGGAGCCAGAGTAGACTGGCTAATAACGAACATCACTATGGTCAACCATCTCTGTGCTAAGGGAAGTGAAATAAGGGAGATTTAACAGTGACACTGGGTGGAACTTCTGGTGATTCAGTGATGTAGGGAGGAGGAAGGGAGGGCTCTCTGTAGAAAGTTTTAAGAGGAAATAGTGGAGAAAGCACCTGGAGGTGGTCCTGCTGTGGGACGTTGGGCAGGGCCTCCCCTGCACCTCTGGGTGCCAGATGACCCTCCAGCCCAGGCTGCAGGACAGTCCGTGCTGCACGACTTGGTGGTCCCCCGCTCCCCGCCCCCCTCCTCCCCTCCCACCTCCCACATGCAGCTTACTTCTTGAGCACGATCTCGGAAGCACCCTTGCTGTACATGCGGAAGCTCTCATCGGGCAGCTTGATGACTGTGCTCATGGACTTGCGCACAGAGTTGAAGGTGTACACCTTGTACAGTTTCTCCTCCGGCATCTGGCTGCGCACGGGCTCGTAGTCCTGCTTCAGGTCCAGCACGAAGCCCAGCAGGCCGCACTCCGTCTTGTTGCCCACTTGCCGAGGCAGGGCACCCTCCTTCTCTGGGGGCTGTGGGGAGAGAGGCCGGGGTGGCTCACAGGGGGTAGCCTCCGAGGCCCCGGGGCTGGGCTGTCCCCTTTGCCCACCACCTGCACCCTCAGCCCTCTCCTCTCCTGGCTCTGGATGAAAGGAGTTAAGCAAGATCAGCTTTTTAAAAACTATGAACTCTTTCAAACCTACAAGCTGGATAGAGAATAAGAAAAGAAACACTCATGTACTCTCCATTCAGCTTTGTAGAGCCTGAGCATTATGCCCTATTTGCTTCAGATTTTTCTTCCTTGAGAAGGAAAACATGACAGATAAAGGTGAGTCCCCCTGTGTGTCCCTCCCTGTCTGCAGAATCCACCCTTGTCCCAGAAAGAACCTCTGTCTTAAAAGTGGCATGAATTATTACCCTATGTGTGTGTTTTTTAAATTTTTAACGATTTATTTATTATTTTTTTACTTTAGAGAGAGCGAGAGTGAGAGAACAGGGGTGAGGGGCAGAGAGAGAGGGAGAGAAAGAATCTTAAGCAGGCTCCACGCCCAGTGAGGAGCCCATCGTGGGGCTCGATCTCAAGACCCTGAGATCATGACCTGAGCTAAAACCAAGAGTCAGACACTTAACCAACTGAGTTATCCAGGAGCCCCTACCCTGTGAGTGTTTTAAATTTTTATTTTGAGCTAGTTCTAGACTGACATGCAATAAGAAATAGTACAGAGAGATGGCACACACCCTTCATCCAGGTTCCCCTAGTGCTCACCCGTGTGACTATAGTACCTCACAGGCAAGACACGGACACTGAGGCAATCGAACCCACCTTGCTCAGATTTCACCGGTTTTATATGCACTCGTGTGTATGTGCTTAGTTCTATGCAATGCTTCGTGTGTGGATTCCTGTGACCACCACCGTGAAGATACGCAGCAACAGTTCATGACAAGGATCCAATCCCTGTGCCACCCTTTTCAAAGCAGCAGTCACCTCCCTTCCCACTCCCTCCCTGGCCCTGGCCCCCATTAATGTGTTCTCTATCTTCATAATTTTGTCATTTCAAGCTTGTTATATACATGGAATCATACGGTATGTGAAACCTTTGAAGATTGCGTTCTTCTCACTCAGCATCATCTCCTCGAGGTCCAGGCAAGTTGTGTGTGTCAAGAGCCTGTCCCTTTTCCGTGCCAAGTAGTATTCCATGCTATGGATGCACTGTCCCTTGTGAGCTCAATTTAGGTTCAGCCAAATGAAACTGCTATTGTAAGTCAACATGCTCAATTACACGTAGCTTAACCTTGTCTGTATGCGTGTATGTGCAGTGCTGCTATGCATGTTGAAAACTTCATGTAAGGGGACTGTACACATTCTTCGAAAACTTGTTTATTCATGTAACTACATTTTGAGAATCACTTGTGTTTATTCTAGCTAGTTTGTTCTTTTCCCCCCTGCTCTATCGATTCCATTCTATGACTAAGCCGCCATTTACTTTCCTCTTTTCCTTCTCTCCACTCACTGATTTAGCATACATTCTTCAGCACTGGCTAAGTGCTGGCCCTCTGCCAGGTGTGGGGCTGCATGAACACAAATCCCCACCCTGGGGGCTTGGCGAAATCATCGACCACCTCTCCCCCAGCAACTCTCACTTCGTCGTGTGGCTGCCTGAACATGACCAGTTTCATGCCTCTGTGCCTTTGCCCTGCTGTTCTTCTTCCCTTTCCTGCCAGGCAAACTCCTCCTTGCTTTTTTAAGGGCCAGCTCAAATATCTCCGTGTTTTTGAAAACTGCTTCATGGGTCTGTTTCCCCCTGAGTAAAGGAGTTATTGTATTCTCTTCCTTGCTATGTTCTCAGGACCAGCACAGAGCCCAGCACACAGTAGGCACTTACTAAGTGTTGGCTGGATGGTTCCATGCAGACCAGAGTGGTGGGAGAGGCACAGGTTAATAGGTAAGAACAAGAGGCCTCCATATGGGCGAATTGTGGGATTAGCCGGAGGCTGGGGTTCCTATAACTCACGTCCCACCTGTACCCCCACATACATGCATATACTCCTTGCATAAAATTACTTTTATGAAGCGTCTTGGGTGGAGGTGGCATTGGGGATGCTAAAAGCCACCACAGATAAACCCAAACCCTAGAGAGATTTAGAAGAGGAATATCTACCTACAAACCTGCCTGTTCCATCCCCACCCCCCGGCATTAGTGGCTTTTTGTGGGTCTCAGACCATCCTAGTCCAGGAACTCTGCATCCTCACCCTCAGCCCCCATCATGCTGCTCAAAAGGACTTCCTGGACAGGCAGGAAGTGGGGTCTGGAAGATGCTGGCACGGACCAACTGTGTGGGGGACAGGACAGCGACTGGACATGGCCCTGGCTCACTCCCCCTTCCACAGTTAGGGCTCAGGCCTAGGGAGCCGATCCCAGCGCTGTGGAGTCACTGGCATTGATAATTCATAGGAAGGACAGAGCCTTAAGCCCATGTCCTCAGTTTCTCTGTCTATAAAATGGAGAGACTAGAACAGATGACTTCTAGCTGAGAGAAAAAACGACCCTTTCAAGAGGTGTGGCGCCTCAGTGGCAGCTGAGGGCCCTGGGCAGGAACAAGGCTCAGGACACCCTCCCTGCTCCCACGCCAGGCAGAACTATGTCTCTGGCACCAGGGGCCTTAGAAGGCTCCCCACTCCTGAGCTCTTTGGTGGGACTGGATTTGGAAGCAAAGGAAACTTTGGTACAGCTTCCCATTTCTGATGTTTGCGAAAATAAATTCGAAGCACTTTCCCTTTGTCTCTGTAGTATGGTGTAATGTTGTGATTTTAAAAATTATATATTTTATTTATTTACTTTTAATTTTTTAAAAAGATTTATTTGAGAGAGAGAGAGCGTGCATGTGGGGGGAGGGGCAGAGGGAGTGGGAAAGGGAGACTCCTGTGCAGACTCCCTGTTGAACACTGAGTCGGTTGTGGGGCTCCATCCCACGACCCCAAGATCATGACCTGAGCCGAAATCAAGAGTCGGACGCTCAACCGACTGAGTCACCTAGGCATCCCTCTTACTTTTAATTTTTTCTGTATTTTTATAATTAACCTTCTGGTGACTTCCAGAATTTTATGTCTTTTTTGTAACAGTTTTTCTCCCCTCTCCACTAATGAAAGAAAATGACAACACGGAGGACTTAAATAAAAATGCCTAATTACTTATTAGCCCAAGAGAGCTGAACAGTTATGCCTTCAAAATACCCGGCATTTTATTACCCTCTGTGAAATATTTTAATTTTCCTCTAAAAGGATTTCAAACAATCCATGGTTGCAAATGGCAGAGCTGCCTCCTACGTAATTTAATTTGTTTCCATGAACTTGAGCTCCGAGATCGCCTACGTGTATTACTAAGAAGGAGGGGCCCACCCCTTTTCTCTTTTGATTTTTTTTTAGATCTTGACAAACCCAGAGGTTTTGCTATTGCTGTAGACTTTCCGAGAGCCTTTTTATCTCTAGGGCTCCGATTCTGTAAGGGAGCTAAGACGTTGGTATTGTTTCAATTTTAACGGACAAGAAGCAGGCCCGGGAGGGGAGTGACTTGCTCGTGGTCACAGACCTGCAGAGGGGCAGGCCTGGGGCTGTCCCCAAGCCCCCTGGCTCCCAGTGCAGAGCTTCATCCAGCACATTTCCCTGTGTGGTACTGAGCCCTTTGGAAATGCTGGATGCAGCCACCAGGCATAATTTTGAGAGGACAATTCCTATTCGTGTTTGGGGTGCTGGGGGGTGAATAGAGCCAAGAGCAAGGAATAATGACTAGAAGAGCTGTAAGTTATAACACCTGCAAGAATGAGATGAAAAAAAGTGCAGCTAGGGGTGCCTGGGTGGCTCAGTCAGTTAAGCGTCCAACTCTTGATCTCAGCTCAGATCTTGCTCTCAGGGTCATGAGTTCAAGGCCCACATTGGGCTGCATGCTGGGTGGGCAGCCTACTTAAAAAAAAAAAGCGCAACTAGCCTGTACCACCTGACATTCATTAGAATGGCTACTATAAAAAAACCAAGCAGAAAACAAGTGTTGGTGAGGGTGTGAAGAAACGGCAGCCGGGTGCGCTGTTGGTGGGAAGGTGACGTTGTGCAGCCACCGTGGAAAACAGGATGGTGGTTCCTCAACAGATTAAACATGGAATTACCATTCCATGCATTCCAGCATTCCACTTCTGGGTATATACCCAAAAGAATTGGAAGCAGGAACTTAAAAAGATATTTGTATATCCATGTTCATGGCAGCATGACTCGCAAAAGCCAAGAGGTAAGGGCAATCCACGTGTCCATCGGCAAATGAATGGATAGATAAAGTGCGGTCTACACATACAAGGGAGTATGATCCAGCCTTAAAACGGAAGGAAATTCTAACACATGTGACAACATGGATAAAACTGAGAGCATTATAAGTGAAATGAGCCAGTCACAAAAGGACAGACACTGTATAATTCCACCTGTATTATGTACCTAGAGGAGTCAGATTCATAGAAAAAGAAAGTAGAATGGTGGACACCAGGGGCTGGTTGTGCGGGGAATGGGGAGCTAGTGTTTGATGGGACGGAGTTTCAGTTTGGAAAGATGGAAAGTTCTGGGATGGATGGTGGGGATGGTCGCACAACGTGAATGTACTTAATGCCACTTGAAAACAGTTCAGATGACTCATTTGATGTTACAGGTATTTCACCCTAAAAAACCTCCAAAAAGTACCCCCAAACAACCCAGCAACCGTAGCATGGTAAACTGTAGCACCTGCCATATGAGGATGCTTCTAGGAGTGCACAGAAAACAACTTTCTGCTGAGTGGCTGTCTCCGGTGGCCTAGCCCGCTGCTCCTCACCCCTCAAGGGCAGGCACCGGCGGGGGGCCTCCCCAGTGCCTGGATGAACCACCAGCCAGCTCAACAGCAGCAGTGGCAGCCATGTTTGAATGTCAACTCTGCCCCATCCTTTACTGGGCTTGTCACACGTATGGTCTGGTTGTACCCCCACAGCTCCCTGGGAGGCCAGCGATGAGTATTCCCAC